AGAGCTTCGCCTTACAGCTCAGCTCCTTCTTCACCACGACGGACCGGTACATCGACCGCATTACTGCAGAAGCTGCACCGATCCGCCTGTCAATCTCCCGTTCCATCCTTCCCTCACTTGTGAACAAGACCCCAAGATACTTGAACTCCTCCACTTGAGGCAGGAACTCTCCACCAACCTGAAAAGAACAAGCCACCCTCTTCCGACTGAGAACCATGGCCTCAGACTTGGAGATGCTGATTCTCATCTCAGCTGCTTCACACTTGGCTGCAAACCGCCCCAGTGCACACTGGAGGTCCTGGTTTGATGGAACCAACAGGACAACGTCGTCTGCAAAAAGCAGACTGAAACTAAAAAAATGAAAGTGAAATTGATACAGGTGAGAACTAATCCCCTTTTCCATCTTCCTCACCTTCTTTAACTCTTCTGTCTTTCATGTAGCCTCATAATCTTAGTTCCAAAGCCTTCTTCACTCTCCCTGTCTCTTTTAGCACCCCCCATTTCTCCCTTTTGTCTGAGGTTAAATGACCCCGCTCAGTACATGAGCATCACCAGGTGATGATGAGGTAACTTTTAATCTCTCTCACACACATCCTGTTTGTGTCTGTCTCCCTCTGTCTACCTCATGCTCCATCACACTCCCCATCTGTCTGTGTGTGACTGTGCATACATGTGCAGTGGACTCAAATGTCAAAGTAACTAACAGAAGAGGTTTCAATTATAAGCCACACTTCACACCACTACTTTCTCCCTCAGAGAAAAATTTATATTTGTGACAATGACATTAACCATTCTTCCTTCCCCTCCTTTCACCGTGTTCTCCCTCTCCTCTTCAAAGAGATTCTGGTCTCAGCAGATCTCAGCAAAGTGCTTGTGAAAAAATAAATATTGTGGTCTTTGTTGGAGCTCATCATCCACTCGTCTCCAGGCAGCGGTACGCGAGTGTGGTTGTGCCGCTGGACTGTTGGTTCAACTTCCTGATGTCACTAAGTGCCATCTTTATTGTTCATTGCCCCCCACAGTCTCTGACTGACATACACACACGTTCATGCAAAACTTTGCTCTAATGCAGCTATCACCGTCATGTTGCCACTTTAATAAACTTTAACCAAGACTAAAAGCCTTGTACCACACAGGTGACCCTGTGAGGCTCAAATGCTCTTTACATACCAGGAAACTAAACTGTTGGAAGGATGGAAAATCACCTTCACACGTTTTAGATCCATACCACTAGTAGTAAGTCTGGCCACAGGATGCTGTGAGAGGGAAGACCATTTCTGCCCTCTGTGCATTGGACAAGAATACTCTTCTTGCTGAGTGTTTTTATATTCTGGAGCTGAATACTCTTACTCATCTCTGTTCACCAGTGCGATCAAGAGGAAACATGGAGACCAGCAAGAGAACCAAGACCAGCTGGACCAGCAATTCTTTAACCAAGAGCGGGCTGCTTTACACTAGACACCCTTCCGTCTGTAATGTCCATATGACAGGGCGACCCAATGGGCTGATGCCACTTGAAAACCTTTCTGCATTTGGCTTTGTTTGAACTGATGTGGAATAAATGACTTGCATTGAAATAAACTTGCATTGTAACACATCAAAAATCTTTCCCTGTCTTATTTAAAGAAAAAAAACATTCTGAAGAAATGAGAATGAAGTCTTTAGTCACACACTAATGAAATCACAGAGTTTGTAATGGCCTCTATCCCAAGTTAGTAACCAGATAGATTCAGTAAATACACGTTTTCTTTGACCTATGATATCAAGAAAGTAAAACTAATCTTTGTCCAGAACCCAAACAAGTATCTTAAACCTACTGTCTCTAACTAACTTAGCCATCAAAGGACAAATGTTATAAACATTACAAGTGCTTCAAACTGATTAGCTCCACTAGTCAGAGTGACACAGTTTTTGGCTTTATGAAGTCAGGAACATGGACAGCAGAGCTCCCTGTGTATATTTTCATTATTATATAAAAGAGAGACAGATGGAATGCAGAATTTCTATTAAATACATTTTGTGGCTCAGCAGAAAAACTACCACCTAGGATTAAGAAAAAGTAAAATTTTAAGACATATGGAATTGGATATCAAGCTAGAGTAAACACACGCAGAAAGACCAAATGTATGGATTCATCCTGATTCAGTTCAGTCACCCCCAACTAATTATGGAATCAGGCTGATTCAGTTGTCATTTGATGGGCAGTGTGAGCAAGGTCCTGGTGCCCGATTAATCACCCAAACAAATAACGATTGGCCTCCCAACCAACTGGATGGACGAGAACAGCAGGAGATTACCACTGTTCTTCAGCTGTACAAGGTAAGTAAGTAAGTAAGCTAAAATTAACACTTTTCTTTTTGTTACTGTTGACAACTTTGAGGATGCGGCCATCTTGTTTCAACAGGACTTTATTAGAATTGATAATGGACACACTTGCTCAGGGTTCTGTGTAAATGTTCCTTGTGAGCTCACATTGTGCCCATTTGAGCAAACATACGGTTTGAGCATTGAAGTTGCAGACTCAGGACTTATAGGAAGGACGATTAAAACGTATAGTGAGTTAACACATCATACATGATCAGTAAGAATCACAGTAAAACGTATAGTGAGTTAACACATCATTCATGATCAGTAAGAGTCACACAATGTCGGCCCAGCATAAGTGGTTAATTTATTTAATGTAAATGAATTTAGATTAGACTTTGTTTGAATTTGACACTTTCAATAAATCCCCTTTATGCAATAATTTATAGGCTTAAGACTACATTCTACTTCTTCTATGATAGGGATTGGTCAGAAGTGCTTACCGGGCCCTCTCCATCCTACGGTTGTTTCTGTGTACTAAACAAACAAAGAGATGAAAATGACCATGCATGACAAAATAACTGTATTATATTACATTTCTAATCAGTCAATATTTTGATGGTAGTAAAATTAGGACATTACTAGTGCTGTTTGTACTTAGGGTACTTTTTAACAAATATAGCCAAGTGGAGTGTCTGTGTAGTCGAGTAGTCTGAGGTGAAAATCTATACAGCACATGCATGTTTTATAATAATGTGTTGATGACAGACTAAAGTAGCTTGTTTGCATAAATAGGAGGTTGACGCAGAGTGTACAGTACATTCAGTTGTGATTTACCTCTCCATCCTGCCCTGGCACCACGAAACAGAGCCTTGGCACCTCTCCACAGGTGTCTGAAAATACAGTCCCCTGGTTCAGCCATGAGGACGACCAGTGACAGCACAAGGAAGATCATAACACACTTCATCCTGGAAAAACAAGAACAACTGCCAATTCTCATCACATATCCTAAGTTTTGATTAAAGTAAAATGAAGATGGGGTGGGGGGGACACTTGCTGAACTTGTCACAAATTACCATCAGGCACGCCTACAGAAACGTGACAGTTAAATTATTAAACACAAATTAACAAATATCTAATGCTTCCAGTTCTCAGATGTGACAATGCACTGCTCGTCTTGGTCTTATATGTTATTAAGATCTGCTGCCTTTACAGGTTGTTACGCACATGTGATCTGAGAGGGAGTGTAGAAGAAAGTTTACAGCAACTGAACTTTAGTTTAATTTAACATTTAATTAGCAAACAAATTTCAGAACTGCAGTCACGTGTCCTGCCAGCCAAATCGTCCTTTATTTAATTCTGTAATTGAAGCATGGTTTGACCTGAAAGCCTGTAAAAAGTGAGCAATGCGATTTATAAACAATGTCTTCCTCCTCAGACATCTTCTTAACTCCGAGGTCTCAGATAAATAATAATATTTACATCTGCTTTTTCCTGACATGAAATTTTAGCTGCAGTTCATTCTGCCTCGGCGGTGGTACATCAGGCGCTGAGAGTTTTTTGCATCCCTGAACGCTTTAAAATACGTTTCATGAAACCAGCTGCGCGAATTCTTGCGGTGCCCCTTTTTTCTTTTTCTCCGGCGCAAAACCCCACTGCAAGTCCTTATTAAATAGTTTAGTGCCAGAAATTCAGCCGCAAACTCTGAGTAAATATCCCCCAAGGTATTTACTTTTTACCTGTCCACAGATTGATAATCAGAGCGTTGTGCTTGCTTCAGCAGATGAGGCACAAGTGAGTTTCTTAGTGTCGGTGTGGCACTTAAAACCAATGTAATTACTACATTTTCTCACAACCAGGAAGTGTCAGTTCAGTTTCTAACCTCAGAAGAACAAGTTGGTAAACTTGTGGGATAGTGGTTAGAGAGTTCAACTTTCATCTGTGAGGAGAGCAAAATGTAATGTCATCTAGATTTAGATGCAGTGATGAAGATGCTAACGTGTATGTCATATGCAAAGCTTAAAAAGAGTCATTTTTTATCATCTCCATAACCTGTACACAGCAGCTACAGCTATTTGGCAGCACTACATTTGGTGCTACAGCTATTTGGCAGCACTACATTTAGTTTTGTAAAGGTCACTTTGTATGTGTGACTTGTTTTAATAATCTTTACAATCATTTGGCATTTGTGGAGAATATTAGGGTCACAGGAAGGGCGTTGCTTTGAAGAATGCTTAAGATAACCAATCCCTGGAGGTCTGTTGTTAAATTGCCCAGAAGAATGTTTTAATGGTGGCTTTAGTGCTGCAGGGGCTACGGGAAGCTACAATGATGGTGTTTTATTGCCTGACACATTGTCTGGTGTAACAACCAAGCATTGTGACTAACACTTGTCTGACATCTGTCTTTCTCTTTGTTTCTCTTTGATGTCTTTTTGAGGATGGGTCCTTTGTTTTCCTTCAGTACAAGTAGAAGGGTTTGACAGATAAAAATACTGACTTGCTATAGTGTTTGTCTCCTTGTCGCCATGCATTAGAGAGAGATAGTTCATCATGCTGAGTTTCTCCCCTTAAATTCTTCTGAGACCTACATTAGCAACAATCAAATATAGAGGAAGATTTTCCAGGACACATTTGGCATGTTTAAGACATTTATCTCATCTACAGACATATCTGGAGCTCATTTTGCTCTGTTTTTTGCTCAAAGACACTTGGACATGTGGACAAGAAGAGCCGGAGTTAGTTTAGTTGTGATACACCTTTTAATCCACCAAACTTTGATGCCTCCAGATTCACACTCCCCAGGTTCAGCTATGAGGGTAGCTAGTGTCAACACAAGAAACAGAGATGTACACTTCCTCCTGAAAACAAGAACAGGGAGGCCGCAGAATCAGACATCACTTTGGTCACTTCAGTTCATCCAGGTTTAAAACAGCTGTACAAGTCATAAATTAAATATTAAATGTCAGAACATATACTGAAGACTTTAAGGCATTAAGTGAAGTACAAGGGAATTGAAATATTTACTTTTTACTTTTAAGAAACAGCATAGCCTAAATTTGATGGTATATTTTAGAATTTGTATTTTTTTGTATGTTAATGTTCAATCTATAGCAGCCTCCCTGAAAAACTTGCATATTGTTTATAATGTTGATAATGTTCCTTGAAATTACTAGCCTACGTTTTGATTTACAGTAACGTCTTTGTATACAGTACATGAAGTTGTCGAGTTGAACAGCAACTAATGCACCTTACGATACGCAGCACTTATCAGAAATGAACATTAATGACACACACTTTTGACATTTTATAGCTACTATTACTCATGGCTTCAAAATTTCACCATTAGATCTTGTGCCCCATAATTGTGTTCACATGCTTTCAGTGGAGGTGCATGATGTTTACAGAAGAGGAAGAAATGTTGTGTACATCGGCAAACTGTTGTGAAACCACTGTGACTAAGGCATTTTAGAAAACCAGCAGGGGGAAACGGCCAACATCCTCATCCCGAAATCGTGTAACACAGTAACATATTGCATGCTGAAATTAAATTTAACAACAAACATTCAGTCATTTGAGCTAATGAGATTTTTTTAGGATCGTTAATTTTATTTGCTAAACTGTTAGCGGCTGGGTTACTGCCAGTTTCAGTCTTTGCTAGTTAGCTGGGTTGCACCTTTTTCTGCACCCATTTGCTCCAAATGGACTCCACTAAAAAGAAACAGGAAAGAAAGACAAAGTGAAAAATATTCTTTTATATTAGTAGCTTGTTTGCATTTATATTGAGCCCAATCACCCTGGAGTACAATCTGCTCCAATAAACAAGAACACATTCATGATGAATTATTAGCAAACAGCTGAAGGGATCCAGCTGTTGAGCATGAATTTACTGTTGTTCACTTGAATTAAATACAGATGGTTTCTGCAGAGGGTTTGGCCAAACATTTCTTTTATATGGCTGTTACTCTGTAATAGTTCTTTCTTCATGTTCCCTCCACTACAGTCTAAATGCCATTCCTTTTATTTTCTTCTCGTTTGTTGCAGTAACAGTTTTACAGAAGTTATTATATTTCTCCGTTTCTTGTTTGTCTATGCATTTCCATGTGAAACGGTGTGAATGTACCTGTAATGAAGTGCGCTTTACAAATAAAAATTGCTTTGTTTTAATTTGAGATAAATTGGAAATTGCTTTAACATGAAGTAGAATGCAGGAAAAACATAGCTGCATAAAAGTTTGAATTAATCTTAGCCACAGTTGAGTCATTTGACCAAAACAGAAAGAAGCTGCAGCCTGACTGTGGCTCAGAGAAGCCATGGCTGTGCTCTATGCTGTCAAGCACCATCTTAAAATAAAAGGGAAGTTTGCAGCTGGTCACAAAAAAAGCCAAATCATTGTTTTTGTGGAAGAACATTTATCAGTGATCACCACATTGCTGTTGCTAAAAATGTTGACATATGTTAGGGTGATTTTTTTATTTCCCACACACACAGGCCCCAAAATGAGCATCATGAAATGGCAAGAATTGAAAAAGGGTTCAAATTAGATAGATTTGCCTGTTTGTTTTTTCAAATGAAAATCTACGGATTTTCTTGATTAATCAGTAAATTACTTGATCTATAAAATGTCAGAAAACAACAAGAAATGCACACAGTGATATTATTAATGCCTTAGTTTGTCCAACCAACAAAACTCAAAAATATCCATCTTAATAACATATAAGACCAAGACGAGCAGTGCATTGTCACATCTGAGAACTGGAAGCATTAAATATTTGTTAATTTGTGTTTAATAATTTATTGTAGTGTGGCATTTTACAAAAGATCAGCCATAACATTATGACCACTGGCAGGTGAAGTGAGTAACACTGACTATTTGTTACAGTGTGCTGGGTTTATTAGGCAGCAA